CGGTAAAGCATTTCATAAATTGGCCATACGATTTAATAAAAAATGATGGCGAGGTAAATAGTTCACAATCTCTCTTTCATATTTAAGATTGTGACCTCGAGCTTTTGTTAAAAAAAAGTCTTTAAAAATAGCTTAACCTGGTACACACAAAAAACTTTTTTATCAAAGAACATAAAAACTTGGGTTTTTATTGTTTTTAGTGTAAAAAGTTTATTTTTTCTGCAATGAAATTTAAAAATATTATTCACATGAAATTATTATTATTTTTAAAATTTTTATATAGTTTTGCTTTATTTGATGGTACTCAATTGGCTGACTTAGTTTCCTTTTTTTTATATATAATATTAGGGGCTTGTTAAATAGAAAATGGACTTAAGCATCTAATAAATATTGGGCAATTAAGCTTAAATTAAGCTTAAATTAATCACAACAGATAATCACAGCACATGTCATGATTTTTTATCTAAAGGGTGTTTAAGGCACCCTAATATATATGTATGTATATATTTAAGTTAATAAAAGCAAAATTTTACTTTGGAAAGTTAAAGTGTCAGTGTTTTTTAGTTTTAGCAAAGTTTTAGTATTTCTACCTAATATTATTTTTACGATTTCACTTAAGTTTTAATTAATATAATAGAAAATTGTTAGAAGTAGCAGCTATGCATTTTTTCTTATTGTTTATGCAAGTTAGTCCGTTTGCTAGCTTACTTTTATCATGCTTACTAAACTTGTTTATTAAATGGGCCATGTATTAGCACATTTATAAAAGGTTTGGTTTTTAACATTTTATATTCCTGACACTACAAAGTTTTAATTTAAAATTTCTTTTAAAATATTCAAAAGTGAAACACTCTCGTTGTTATGGTAATAGCAGTAGTTGCAAATAACAGTTTTCATGGTAATAGCAGCACAGTAATGCAATCGACAGAACAAATTTAAAATGATTCTTTATATTAGCCACTACCATTAAAGGCTAAGGTTGTATATAAAGTTATACACAAGTTTTGTTTTGATTTATACTTTTTTAGTGCAAGGAAATAAAGAACTAGGTGAACATGAGTTGTTTGAAATTTCAGAAGATTCAATGTTGTCACCATATGAAGAAATAGATGCAGAAACCATTTACAAATCTTGCGATGTTCAAATTGTGCCATCTGATTTCTCATTGCAAGGAAATGATAGTACAAAATATTATATAAGGTATTTTAAGATCTTTAGTTTAATATTAGATTATTTTGAGCTGTTGCATCTTATTTCCTAGTAAAAAAAAAAAATTTTTTATGGCGCTAATTCAAAAGATATAAAAAATGAATTTAATAGTTTGAGAAACTCTTGTGAACTTCATGGATCTTATTCTTAAAATCTAGTTTTCAACTCAATCAACATCAACTTGAATGAAATTTAATTTTAAACTTAGTTTAAAATAAAAGCATTATATTAATTAATGGTAGTGATTCATTTGTTTAAAACTGATTTGACTTCGAAAACCTGGCATGTTGTGCAAGTTTTGAGTATGACAGGCTACTTTTAAGAGTTATAAAATTTTTGTTGTTTCAATAAAACTTTTATTATCAAAGATGTAGAGAGTGAGAAAAAAATATAAAACTATATATTTTAGATTTAGCAGCATAAAAAATGAATTTTAGTAATTAAAAATAAAAAAAAAATTATGAATTTTTTGTGACAATAATTTTTATACTATAAGTTTTTTTAAAATATAATTATCATTTTTGAAATTTTCATATAATTTTGCCTAATTTGATCACAAATTTAGCAAAATTTTATAAAAAGATATAGAGAGTGAAAAACAGAGAATAGAGAAAAAGTCAATAGAGAAAAGTCTGTCTTTTTTTCCATCATTTAATGGCTTTTTTAATCTTTCTTACTCCTTTCACATTTGACTAAAACATTTGACCAGTACATTATATATAGTTGTAAACAGTATGTTTTCGACTAAAACATCTGACTAGTATATTATATATAGCTGTGAACAGTATGTTTTTGACTAAAACATCTGACTAGTACATTATATATGGCTGTGAACAGACTGCTATACTTTGGGGGACAGTTTAAAAGGTGAAAATAATTTTGATTATTATTTGTTATTTTGTAAAGTTTAAGTAATTAGTTGGCTAAAAATGAAAGTGAATGTGAAAATGACTTAGTAGTAAAAAGTTGAATGCTTGATGAATGAAACTGTGAAATGAATTACTTATTAGTTTTTCAATTTTTCAACATTCACTTTAGTTGAAATTTTTATTTTTAGATACATGTTGACTAAAAATGGTTTTACTCTTATTTTTAGATATAAGTTGACTAAAACAGGTTTAGTAAGTATAATTAATACTGTAAACCAACAAAAAAACTTATCATCAACAAAATTGAATCAATCACTTAAGCTGAAAAATAAATCTGGTGGAGCTGAAAAAGTTTCAAGTCCAGACAAGTTAAAAAGTTCCTGTAGTAAATCTTTGTATTGTTATTTTTATTTTTTATTATTTTTATTGTTATTATTATTTTTTTTTTTTGTTAATTTGTTTAATTTACTTTTTATATTTTTTTCTTCTATTATTTTATAAAATTGTGTATTTATATTTTAATCAACATAAAACTTATTCTTTAAATTAGCTGTTTTAGGAGAAGTTAATAATACTATTTGCTTACACTTTATTTATTTACTTTACTATTTGCTTACACTTTATTTATTAGGTTCTTTTATTTAAGGTTGCTTACATTTTATTTATTAGGTACTTTTATTAGGTTCAATACTTATTCAATCCAACAAATCTTCTAATGTAGTATATGTAATTTTAATATATATATAATTTAGTTTCTTTATAATATTTGATATTAAAAAGTTATAATATCTTTAGTTTTGCAATAACTATATATTTGTTGCTCATATCATAAATGATATCTCTTGAAAAAGCATTATAAATTAAAATCTATTTTTTCATTAATTAAATTTTCAACTACTTAACATGAATATCTATTCTAACAAACTTTGACATAAATGTTTCATGTTTTTTGTATACATTCAGTGGTGTACACTGGACTTTTAGATGTTTGAGTTTTGACACTTGCACACATTTTGAAAACTCCAAACTTTTGTATGTTCATGCTTATGTCAAATGAGAATGTTTTGCAAAAAATTGTGGTGATTGGAGCTTGGGGACAAAAAAAAAACTAATTTTTGGGCCCACCCAGCCCTTAACGTGGGAGCAACAAGTTGATAAAATAATTTTTTTAGTATTTTTATTAAAGTTTATAATCATCAACAAATTTCAAATTTCATCCAATAATTTTTATTTTTCGAAAATTATGACCATATAAAGTTTTAACCCTCTTATAAAGTTTTAACCCCTCAATTTGAGGGGGCTGTAAACTTTGTAGGGTCATAAAAACTAAAAACTAAGAGGTTATTGCATGAAATTTGAAATTCGTTGATGAATATAAACTTAGATAAAAATACTAAAGAAATTATTTTATCAACTTGTTGCCCCCACTTTAAGGGCTGGGTGGGCGCAAAAATTGTTTTTTTTTTTGTCCCCAAGCTCCAATCACCACAATTTTTGCCAAACATTCTTATTTGACATAAGTATAAACATACAAAAGTTTGGAGTTTGCAAAATGTGTGTAAGTATCAAAATTCAAACATCTAAAAATCCAGTGTACACCACTGAAATTTAAATTACCTCTCCAAGGCCACTCTTGTCTCTTTATTTTATTTTACTTTTTTAATGTTATTCACCTTCCTAAGGTTGAAGGTTGAAGGTACTGCTACAGTCAAGTAGACTAATTTTTTTTTATTATTGTAGTTACAACCTCTCAACTTTGTAACACAAATCTTGATGAACAAGGCTGCTGCATGGAAAAACAAGTTAAGTGCTGTATTACCAGGGGTGTGGTGGGGATCAAGCTTAGAACTTCTTGTTTATGAAGCAAGTACTCTACCACTACTGCATTTTGTTACAACCTGAATTTTTGTCTCAACTTAAATTCTCAATCTGAAAATTAGGTTGAGCTCTTTACTATCAGGGGTGGCTTATTTTAAATCATAACTTTTAGCTATATATTAATTTACCACTTTCTTCCTTCTAATCAAAAATTAATCTAAATACAAAAGTTTCTTTTGAAACTTAATGTCTTTAAAATTTTAACCAAAAATTTTAAATTTTTTTTACAGATATTTCCTTGAAAACACCTGTTATAGATATGGGATGTAAAGTTAAAAAAAGAACACTTATCAATGACAAAGGATGTTATGTTGATAAAAATAAAGAAACACACAAAATGTCTCCTAATAAGAAAGCTACAGATTCTTTATTCAAAAATATTTTGATAGAAAAAAATAGGAGTAAAAAGGCAGGAAAAAAACTTTACAGTGAGTAAATAGTTGTTGTTTTTTTTTTTACAATTCTAATTAATGATTATGATTAACTTAAAATAGTTTAACCTTTATTTTATTTATATTTTTTAATATATATAACTATTTTATAAATCACTAATATGACGAAGTAAATTGAGTTTCAAATTATTACTATTTTTATTAAATATTTTAATTAATAAATGTAAATAATTACATTCATTTATGATCCCAAATTATTTTTTATTCAATATTTCTTTTACTAAAATGAAGAATAAATAATTGTATTTAATTAATAAAAATTATAGTATTGTAAATAACATAGAAATATATATATATATATATATATATATATATATATATATATATATATATATATATATATATATATATATATATATATATATATATATATATATTATAACCAAAATTTCTTTTAAGCACCAAATATGTAAATATTTTCATAAATAAGACAAGTTTTCTAATTTTTAAAACCATTTTTTAAATAAAAAACAATACATGTTTTGACTAAAACTAGTCATCTTCAGTTAAAATTAAATATTTAAAATTTGTTAAAATACCTTTAAAGGTGTTTTAAAAAAAAACAACGCAAAATATAATTATTCTTGTACAAACCAGGCTTGTGAAGCCGAGCCGGAGCCGGGGAGCCGCTGTTTTTTGGTGGAGCCGGAGCCACAAAAATTGAGCGGCTCTCAGCTCCCCCTTTTTTTTTTAAAGGAATAGAATGTATATATATATTTTTTCTAGACAAACTTTAATTATTTATTGTTTAACATTGAATTTCTATTTTTTTAAAATATTTTTTCTAACAGATACGGTCTTGCTAAAACGTTTTTAAATGATTATTTTAACGATTTTGTACTCAACAAAATACTATCCTTTAATAGTATTTCTTAATATGCTTTATTAAAAAAAAAAGTAAATTTTATATGGAAACATTACAGTATTACATATATTGATGAAATATTTGATGCGCGATTTAATGATCAAAAGTTATTTATATCTTTAAAACTATATTAAAGCATGCGATCGTTAAACTTGAAACGATAAATTTTATTTTAAAACTTGTCACTAACACATTTTTAATATCTTTTTTTTTGCGTAATTACTTTAAGTAATTATAGTTTTAAATAAAAACATCGACAAACAAGTCAAAATGTTTCTATTAATTAAATTGTCATTGAAACAGTTAAAAAAAAACGAATAAAAAGTCTGCACAATAATCCACCAAATTCATCTGCATCGTTACTTTCAATCGCTAAAGCATCTGAATCTAGAAAAACTGCTGTTTGTATGGCCATAAAACAATACATGAGCTCTCTATCTATCGAACAAGCAAAGGATCTGGAAGAAAGAGTGTCTTTAAGGATAAGAAAGCAGCAATTCAACGATCATTAATCAAAATCCCAGCTTATCGATCAAAGAACAAGCCAAAAGGTATAAAGTTTCAGAGTTTTTTAAAGATTAAATTTTGGCAAGCAAAATGCAGCTGTGGTTTAAAATCTCGAGCTTTTGTCATATCGTCAACTTTAAATTCGGATGTTTACATCAAAGAATACTTGCAAGCTAGACTTTTGCAATTTTATCGAAATCACGATGTCCCCTGTTAGTTCTGGCCTAATTTTGCTTTTTGTCATTATTTTAAAAAAATTGGTAAAATCCGAGAGACATCAAATTCATACCAAAAAGCTTGAATTCATTAATCGGCATACAGTTTCGTCCCATTGAGAAATATTGGAGAGTTGGCAAAACATATTTGCGTAAGAGTGGCAAAAGAATAAGTACAGCTAAAGATTTGATTAGAGAGTGAACATTAGTAGGGAAAAAGTTTGTAAAAGACACTGTGCAGAAGTTGATGTCGTCAATCAGCGTAAATGTTCGCTATTTGAAGTAATGAAAAATGTCAAAATAAAAAGTACTTTTATAATCTTCAAGTTCCTTAGATTAAAATAAATATTGAAGTTTTTGCATTAGTTGAACTATTTCTTGTTTCTTTTTTTTGATTTTTTTATGGATTTGAATTTAAGCATGTTTTATCCAGTGGGCACGGGATATACAAAAGAGGTCTTTTAAATGTCTTATGAATGTTTTGGATGCCTTTTGAACGTTTTGGGCGTCTTTGGGGCGTCTTCAAAAGATATCTTTTTTAGGTACGTGCCCCTTGGGTAAAATTAGAAATAAAATTCAGACTAAAAACTCTAGTTTTGGGTAAATAATATATATAAACAAGTGTTTGTTTACCCAAAACAAACACTTGTTTCTATATATCTTTTAAAATGTAATATTTGATAGTAGACTAAAGTAGTGATAAAAATGCAATAACCGTGTAATCGTAAGAGTTAAAAATTAATTGCTGTAGTTGGTATAGTTATGGGTTAGAAAATGTGATCAAAAAAATTTCCAAAACTTGCAATTTTTGTTCATAAAGTTCGGGAGCCGAGCCGGAACCGGACCTTTCTTAAGAGCCGGAGCCGAGCCGTAAAAAAAATAGTCGGCTCCACAAACCTGGTACAAACTAATAATACTATAATTACAAAAATACAATAAAATAGTTAAAAAGTTTATTATGTCATATAAAAGAAATAGGAAATAACAAAAGAATAAGTTAAAAATATGGGCAATATGTATAAAAAGCAACTTAACAGAAAGTGTAATTTGTACATGGTTAACCTGTTTATCCATGGTTAATCTGTTCATACCAGGTTTAACCGATTCCATAAGCATACTTTCTTTAAGTTTTAGCTCACATTTGTTAGATGCCAAATCTAACACAGATATCCTTATAAGATATTCAGAACTTCAGATATCCGGGTCTTGAGATGTAGAGTAGTTTCGCCTATATAACAGGAGTTACATCCTGCTAATACAAATTTATACACCACTAGCGATTTGAACTTTAGAGAAATAGGATCTTTAGAAGAAAAGAATTTATAAATTTTTAGTGAGGTAAATACTAATTTAATATTTCCTGAACAGTAATATCTTTTAGCAATTGAATTCAGTCTTTTTTTAGTTGAGTCAGATATTTTTCCCAAAAACGGCAGTTTAAAATAAGACTAAAATTCTTTGATTTTTGGTTGTGGTGAAGGATTTGAATTAATCTTGTCAATTAATCACAAACAACTGCATGACAGTGTTTCATGTTTTTGAACCATGTTACAGAAGTAAAAATAGTTCCTTCTATTGACTCCAGTATGCATTTTAACTTCATCTTGTGAAAAACATTTATAGTTTTCAGTTTAATCCGTTTGTTACACTGCTACACTATCCAACTCTTTTGTTCTATTTCTGTCAGATTCTAAACTCTTATGCTGCTGTCTTTTAGTAAAACTATGAGTTAAAAAGGATGGCATACATAAATAGTTAAAGGATGATATGCACAGGTAATCAAATTCTGTGTAAAAATAAAAAATATTAATAGTATAAAACTACTTTATGATTATCTCCACAAGTCACAACAAATAATTTAAAGCATCTCAAAGAGATAATTACCCTTAACTAGGTTATTGTAATTACATTTTTTAAGTACAAGATACAGAATTATCATAAAGTAAGTTATAACTACCATGGAACAACCATAAGTCAAATACTGTTTGCTGAAGCAATTTTGAATATTGGCAAAACAAGTTAACCATTCTATCAGATTTGTTAAAGGGATCCCTAAGTGCTACAAAGATATGATCTCATATAATAGAGCATTAAAAAAAAAAAAGTTTGATGTATATTATTTTTTCTAAAACGTAATAATGAACACACACTAACAAATTTAATTTTTAAAAAAACACTTTTCTTCGATTAAAAAAAATGCGCCTTGTCCAAAGTTTATTGACTCTATTGCCTCAAAAAACTAACGTTAGTACGTCAAATTAAACAAAGTAGACAAAATGTCATTATTGCAAACTTATTAATTGTAATTAAATTTAAAAGTAAAGTCGTTTTTTTTCAACTAACACATAATTACTTACAAGAATAAGTTTTGTAGCATTTTGTGAAAATATATTTGTATATTAAATTTTTTTTTATAATATTAATTTATATATTTGTGTTATAAGGGCAATTCCATGGTTAAAAATGAATAGAAGTCAAATTTTAAACTCTTTTTATTCAATTAAAAATAAATGAATATTGACTTAGACATATGAAAGTTTATTTAAAATATTTCCTTAGTAAAAAAATAAATTTATTTCAGTAATTTTTATGGTTTCAAAAGTGAAAGGTTACTCTCATTTTTGCTTGATAAAAAAAATAATGATTGTAAAATGTTTTAGTTAAATTAACATTTATGTTAAATTGCTATATTTTTTTGGTTCAAATTGATAAGGTTGAATAGACATTTTATTAGAAATTAAACTAAGACAGGGTTCTAATTAACGCAAAAAAATCTAATCGCGAAAAAAAAATTTTTTTTTTTTGCTCTCTCCCCTTCCTCCTCTCTCTTATAGCTCTCTCCCCCCCTCCCCTCTCTCTTATAGCTCGCGCCAATGTGCGGTAATGGGGGGAAAAAATTATTGTTATTAAATCAAAAAACATCGTCAAAAATTTAATAAAAAATTAGATACCACGTTTTTTATAATTTATTGTTTCTTGAATAAAGGACTAATAAAAGTTTAAATATAATTAAGTTTTTCATTTAAATGGTTGATGTTTTTATTCAATTTTTCTATTTCAAGTTTTCCAATAAAAGATAAAACAAAAAAATTTGGTTTAATAAATCGAATTATAGTTCATGTTTAAAATAAGGCTTAAAAACGTTAAAGTAAAAAAATTGCTGGTTTTTATTAGCATTTTTATACTGTTTGAAAAAAAAAACTAATAAAAAAGAATTAACTAATAATATATTAATTAATAATTATATATTAATTCTTTTTTATTAGTTTTTTTTTTCAAACAGTATAAAAATGCAAATAAAAGTCAGTAATTTTTTTGCTCTAACATTTTAAGCATTATTTTAAACATGAAGTTTTGATAAACAAAGATAAAAACCAACTTTTCAACTTTTCGCTTAAACGACCTTGTAAAAATTTTCCACGCAGAGATTTAATGTAATTTAAATTCAAAAATGTTTTACGTTGAAAGAAAATTGAAAAAAAAAAACGAGTTGCGAAAAGAAAAAACTAATCACAAAAGTGTGTGTAGCAATCGTGATTGCGATACGCTTAATACGAGCCCTGTAAGACTTTTTTATAAGTTCTAAACTATTTAAAACTATTACTTAATAACTTTTTTTTAACGACGTCTTTCAACCGAATGCTATTATACTGTTTTTGCAAAACTAATTTAAAAAACTTGATTAAAACTTAACTATTTAATCACGACTTTTTTTTACTTGAAAATCGAAGTAGATATTCTAAAGTTGTTGTGACGTACTAACGTGATTTTTATTGACTAACAATCGAGTTTCAATGGTGAAAAAATAAAATCAAAATGGAGTTGTTTTTTAGTGATTTCGGCAATTGCTTTTTGTTAGCATGCATTTATTATTACAATTTAGGGAAAAAGAAAAAAAACTTACATATTTTTTTTTAATGCTCTTTCATATGAGATCATATGTTAGGAGCACTTAGGGATCCCTTTAACAAGCCAAACAGTAGTAAGACCAAGGCTACATGTTCCAAGGCCAAGGCCGAGACTAAGTCCAAAAGTTTCAAAGCCAAGGCCTACGCAAATATTTTAACATAACTGCAGGTAAGTGACAGGTGCTGTAGCAATAAAACCACATGTTGTGAAATTAGATCAAGGTTGTGCATAACCTTGGTCTGATTTCACAACATGTGGTTTTATTTAATAAATAAAACCACATGTTGAATTTGAATTTAAAACAACATGTTGAATTTGAAAAAGTCAATAAAAAAATATATTTGGAGAAATACATTTAGTACAAAAATACATAAAAATAAAGAATTAAAACTTTTAATTTTTTATTTTTATGTATTTTTGTGCTTAACGCTAACAGCTAATATTAACATCTTTTAATTAAAAATATGTTGATATTAGTTGTCAACATTAGTTATAAGTCATAAGCATTAACTTTTATTATATTGCCTATAATTTATTATTATATTTAAGAAAAATTAAAGTTTCAAGCAACGAATTAGACATATGAGATCTATGTGGACACATCATCAATCCACTCTGACAAAAGATACGCTCAACAGGAGCTGATGCGTCAGCTTTCTTTAAATTGAAATTAAGGGCATATGACAAAAGATACAGGATAATATGGGCATATATATGATAAGGGCATATGACAAAAGATACAGGAGCTAACTTAGCAGGGACACAGAGATTTTTGATTATTATTTCATTGTTTACAGTTTTTTTAACAAAAAATCTTTTGGATTAAATTCTAGTGATTTATTCATTTAAGGTCAAATCTTTGATAGTTTGGTCAATGAACTATCAAAAAGGGATAATTAAACTAATGCTTATTGATTCAAAGTTTAATTTTATAAAAAAAATTAAAAAAAACTTTTTTAATTAAAAAAACAAATTTTTTAAACAGATTTAGATAAGTTAAATAAAAACAGTATAAATAAAAAAAATACTTATAATAATTTATAACTAAATTTTAATTTAAAAAATCCATAAAAGTTCATTTTTAATTTTAAGAAAAAATCGTGTTTAAAAATTTTATAAATTTTGTAATGTTTTAACTTTTAAAAAATGTTAAAGATATATCATGTGACATAATATATAGAAGTAATAAATTCCCATTAACAAATTGTCATTAATTATTGCTTTAAAATGACTAGTCAAAAATGGCAATTTTAACCATAACATCTAACACAAAATTATGTTCTAAAGCTTTCAAGTAAACAAAAATAACTCTTTTAAAAAAATCAGCTGTAGTTAAGTTTTAAAAATACTAAAGAAAGTTCTGAATTCATAAAGAAAAGGTGGAAGGCTAAGACCGAAAAAATCAAGGCCAATACCAAGGTCAAAGCCAACAGTTTCAGGACCAAGGCTTAGGCCTTAATTTTTGCCTTAAGGCAAGGCCAATATATGTTGAAAATACTATAAAAGCATTATCTATAGATAATGCTTTTATAGTATTTTCAACATATTTTTTAATATCAAATGTTTCAAAAGTTTAAAAAATTCTATAGAATTTTTTTCTTTTTGTTTTGTTATTAAATTTAACTTAACCCTACATTATAAACAATGCCAGTATCTATTTACAATTAATTTTTACTTACAGGACATTGAATAATGACTTACAAAACATTGAATTGTTACTTATGGTATATAATCAATGCATGCATGCCTAAAAAAATGCTTCAATCAACAAAAAATTCTTTTGATATGTAGATTAATTAGTATTTTAAAGCTGCTATATTCCATTTTATAATTGAAGATTGTTTTTAGGTGTAAATTTTTAAAAAAAATGCTGTTTTTGTTACTTACAGGATAGTCATTTGTTGGAAAACTATGGCAGATTTTGTTTTTGTTTTGATAAATATAAAAAACTTATCTAAGCTGATTGAAAGTTTTAAGTTCATTTATAATATAATAAATTTGTGGTTGTTAAGATACAAAATACGTTATGATTAACACTTTTATTAAAATGTAATCTAGCTACCATTTATATAGAAAGTTACATGACGCAAGACTTTAATTTGGAATAAAAAACAAAAAAGTAACACAAATAACATTATTAATCACAATTAAAAAACTTTAAACATAGTAGCCCAATGATAACTTGATTTTTGTTTGAATTTTTTTTTTTTTTTTTTTATCGAAATAACTCACTTGAGCGTGGAACCGCCCGTATATATGTATGTGTGTGTGTATATATATATATATATATATATATATATATATATATATATATATATATATATATATATATATATATATATATATATATAATACATACAATTGCAATACTTATTACATAATTACATATATATATATATATATATATATATATATATATATATATATATATATATATGTATATATATATATATATATATATATATATATATATATATATATATATATATATATATATATATATATATATATATAATACATACAATTGCAATACTTATTACATAATTACATATATATATATATATATATATATATATATATATATATATATATATATATATACATATATATATAGACATATATAAATATATATATATATATATATATATATATATATATATATATATATAATATATATATATATATATATATATATATATATATATGTATATATATATCAGGCCTTGGCATAAAGCGGGAGCAATTGCTCCTGTAATGTGAAACACGCTCGTTGATAGAATATTTATAAATTGCGGGGGTAATAAAAAACGCTTGCTAATTAAGTTACGATAATAAAAAACTGCACTCATCCTAAAAATTTGGGAGGGAGAAAACTAATAACGATTTACTTGATTTTATATTAAAAAAAATTTATAATTAAACAAAAAAGTTTGCTTATTGTTAAAAACAAATTAATCTCTATTCAAATATCTTTAGTTGCGTTTTTTCAATTGAGGTAAAATGTTAAAGCTATACTTCAATTAAAAAATTCATTTTTTCATGTTAACTTATGCCATTCTGTTGAAATTAAAGTGCAAATTTCTACAAAAAATGAATGGTGATTTGTGAATGAGACTTCTTTATATAAAACGTTTACACCAAACATTTAATGAAATTAAATAAAATTAAATTTAATTTATATAAGTTTATTAATAATATTAAATTGTGTAATAAATACAAACTAATTATGAGAAACGTTGTAAATTTAATTTTGTAAAAGCATTTGCTAAAAATCATATGTATAATAATAAAAGTTTTTTATTTAATTTCGCAAAAAATATTTCGAAAAATGTTGTGTTTTGAACGGAGTAGTTAGCTTATTGTTAAAAACAAAATAATCACTATTAACATATTTTTGATTGCGTTTTAACAGTCAAAGTAAAACATTTTAAAAAAATCATTTTCTATTTAATAACCTAGGTCATTGGGTAAATTAAAGCGTTAAAAATGTTTTCGGCCAAAATTTAACTAAATTTAAAAAACTTTTATTATTAAAATTATGACTTATTATTTATAACTTGATTAAAATTATAAATTTAATTGAGAAAAAGAAAAGTTTAAGTTTGAAAACGTTTATTAAAAAAGTTATGAAAGTTCTATTAGCGTTAGCAACAAAAAAACATTAAATATGTTTTAACCAAAAGAAATTTTTATTTCATTGTTTTAATGTTTTGATTATTCTAAAACATTATGAATTTATATTTATATTAAACGAATGAAACAATGAAAAAAATGAAAACTTATGAACTTCTTTCAAATAAATTCGAAGTAATAATTAAAAAAAATTGATGGTAGTATTAAGTTAAAGATGAAGACATTAACAAAGAAAATACATAAAAAATAAATTTATTCTTTAAAACAAGATCATTAAGAACTAGGTGGAATAAAAAACACAATCAGATGCAATCAAATAATAAATAAGTATTAAGGAAGTCGAAAGAATTTTAAATGTTTTGTCAGGCAGTGCGCTGCTAAATAATAATTTTAAAATATTTATTGACTAAAGAACGCCATATACAAAAAAAAATTGGTCTCAATAACTTAATGACGAGCGCACATAATCGTGCTCGCTAAAAAAGTTTTACGGGCGCAAAGCATTGCGCTGGACAATTTTCTTTATGCCGAGGCCTGATATATATATAAATATATAAATATGTATGTGTATATATATATATATATATATATATATATATATATATATACATATATATATATATATATATATATATATATATATATATATATATATATATTTATATATATATATATATATATATATATATATATATATATATATATATATATATATATATATATATATATATATATATATATATATATATATGTAATTATGTAATAAGTATTGCAATTGTATGTATTTCACAATAACATGTAAAGCATAAAATTGATATTAGTTTTTATTTTTTTAATTTAGCTACTGAAGACGTTATTAATAATGTTAACAATTCAGATGACAATGAAGTATTGAGTGAAATATCTGAAAGTGACAGCAGCTCAGTTTGCTCTACTAAACAACAAAGTACTGATGTTTTAATTGCTAGCAATAGTTTTCAACAAGACAATACAAAATTAAACTTAACCAAAAATAGTGATTTTAGACAAATGAGCTCTAGACCTAGAAGAACGTTTACTTCAATAAGTGAAAAAGTTACAAATGTGTCTTCTTTAAAAAAAGATGTGGCAAATAAAAGTTTGTTATTGGACAATACAATTGAGCTTTCTAGTTCCAAGTCAAATAAAAAAGTAAAATTGAGTAATAATAAACAGATTAAAAATAAAACTAATATCACATTTGATTTGTCATCTTGTGATAGTGATGAAGATTTTGATGTTGAAAGTGAGGATACAGAGAGCGATGAAAAAAACAACAATTTACAAAAAAGTCATAAAAAGAAGATTGGTAAGCAAACTAAAAACACTCCTGGCAGTTTTAAAAAAGTTCTTAAAAGTCAAGGATTAGCTTCAACTCCTCTTTTAAGCGAAAGAAGTAAACCTCTTCTGGATGCTAAGACCCCACTAGAAAAAGCAAGGAAAAG